CAACACCTGGCCTCCTGCCAACTGTTTTGGCTCAGCAGCGCTACTCACCCCTTAGGCACTTGGGCCCATGGCTTCCCCTACCCCCCTTGTCTTCCCCACCTCTACCCTAGGGTTGCCCCTACCATCCTCTCATTCACCTTTTTCAAAACTGGCACCCCCTCACTCTCCTTCACTACTGTCCTCCTCTTCTTTTTCTTCATCAACACCGCCTCCACCTCCTTTTTGTTTCTCTCCTTCAGCGGATCCACTAGGGGGCGGCAGCGGTGCAAAATCAGTCAGATCCTTATCGCCCAGAGGCTTGGGGCGTGGTCGGACTCGTTCCTTCATGACTACTTTGGCGCTCGGCCTAACTGTGCCTCTTTATACTTGTCTGCCTTGGCGAATGTCCTTTATCCTCCGTTTCTTGCATTTTTCTTCTTACTTCCAACTTTTTCGGCGCAGGATCCCCTTCGGTCGGCTGTGGCCCCAGGCTTAAGGCAAACAAGCTTGACAGCTGGACAAGGTCATCCCACTTCACCTCATCCTTCTCCCTCCACTCCTTCACCTGTTTAACCCTATCCTCTGCCTCTGCCTCCAGTCTTGACTCCACTAACTTGATAAGAATCTTCTACATCGTGTGCACCTCCCTTCCGCCATTTGCTGATACATAAAACCACCTTGGTCTTCACTCATTCATCGATGATGGCAAACCCGCTACTAATCCTTTACCTGCCACCGCCCGCAAGGTCACCCATGTTTTTTGTTGACTAGAGGCTTGTAGCAAGAAAAGAACTCATCCACCGTCATCACCACCCCACCGGTTGCCTGTGGCCATGCGATCACGCAACCCAGTAATATTTTCCACGCATTGGGCATGAGCTGACCTGCCGCCACGTCCAACCGATTCAGCATGTCCACCACTATTTGTGAGAGCGGCAACCTCAGACCCTCCCCGCAGCGCCTCCTCGTACAGCGTGAACTCCATCGGATGCGCATCCGACACCCTCTCCTTGGCCGTCGGCAACTTCAACTCTTTCTCTGCAAGAATCTTGTACTTTTTACGCACCTCCTCCAACTCCTCTACTGTAAACGTCGATTTATCAGCCTTGGTATGCCAGTGGCCAAGTTCCACTTGGCTAATCAGCCTCGCGGCCACGATCATTGTGGACAGACGAGGTCGCACTGCTTGCTCCGTCTTTTTCTTCTCTCGCCTCTCTAACCGATATTGCTCCGCCAAATCCACCGCATCGTCTTCACCCAATGCCTCTAACCTCATGGCTGGCGCTTCGTCCCGAGCTATCTCTTTTACGTTTTTGTATATTGCTTCGGACGCAGGCGCGAAGAAGTTCGCAAACTGTTGGAAGGGAGTATCACACGAAACGAATGAGGTTAGGTCTGTGATGTTTGGTTTCTCGCAATGAGATATGTAAAACGGATAACTCCAAATGCCTATGGTTTGCCTATTTGCCAATAATCAAGGTTAAAATTCGTTAGTTTGAAATTTCAAAAAGTTTACAACCCCCGCATTTTCTACGTCCTATCCTAGTCCTAACCTTTCGCTTCCTACTAACGTATCACCTCCCTCACCATTGGTTTAGATCTTACCACGTGTACAACCACGATTCCTCCCATTTTCCCTTCCCCGTCTATTTCACTTCACATCATCACGTGCCTCATCGCTCCTCGAGTCTCGCGTGCCGCCACCACCTCTCACTCGACCCCTCTTCGTGATCGGCTCTCCTCTTGGTTGGTTTCCGCACTCGATCCCCCTTCGCAGTCGGCTCACCTCTCGATCGTTCTCCACACTCGACCCCCCTTCGCAGTTGGCACACCTCTCAGTTGGTCTTCGCGCTCGACCTCCCTTCGTGGTCGGCTCTCCTCTTGGTCGGTCACCGCGCTTGACCCCCCTTTGCGATCGGCTCTCCTCTCGGTCGGTCCTCACGTTCGGCCCCATACACCCTCCATCTTCCTTCTTATTCTCTTCGTTGGACTAAAGCTGTACTTGGAAATGAGGGACTGCTAACATTGGTGGGCCCACAGAAGCTTTTGGCCCACCACTTAGAGCCTAATTCATGGTTCAAACACTAAAGCCCAACATTGAGAACCCAACGTTGCACCAAGAACCAATAGCATCTAAACACTTGTCAAGAAGGGAACCAGCCACATAAGCAGATAAGATCCTACAGAGTTATTGCACCACACATCAGCCATTAATGAGGCCCCTGCAGCATTAAATACGATAACTCCTTTATGTCGGAACAGGAAGTCTCACCGTGAACAATACAAGTTAGAGTATAGACTTTCGGCCAACACGATAGGTCGGAGTAGGCAAGGAAATAATAGACAAAGGATATAAGGAGGCTTCCAAGACACATCAAAGGTAAAGTTCTTTATTCTTTTTCTCTCCCTCTCTACACACCATTAATCTCCTCTCTTCTAACTTGATCGTCACAGGGTTCGCTGGGGGACTCCTGTTTCTCGTTAGATATTTTGCAGGCACACCAACGAGCTCAGTGATTGGTGATAGGTGTAGAAAGTGTGGGTCTGCCTGACCCGCCCTCCTTTGGATCATCAAGTATTATTAGACTTGCAATTTTTATTTTCCCAATCAAAAAAAATAATGATTTATTTTCTCCTCACAACCACCCATCCACATAATTATTCGCGTCTAAACAATCATGACACCATTGACAAACACACTAATGCCAAAATCACACAAAATAATGTGCTAGGAAAGCTAAAAATTAAAGCGCAGCCAACTTAAAAAATAAAACAAATAAACACTAGGGAAATTTTAATATACACATATTTAAAAGATTTATCATATACATTCTTCATTATATTATTCTCTTTTTTAATTATGATATTATTTTAGTTATGATTCGTAAATTTTTTAGTTATAATTTATGTTATGTTTAGTTATGACATTTTTTTTATTTTTTTAGTTATGACTCAAAAAATTAAAATTATATCATTTTTTAGTTATAAAGTGCATATAATAGTGTACACCATAGTGTTTTTCTAAACACTATCAGCTTGTTTGATTCTAATTTTCAGAAAACAGTTTTCAGAAAATTTTGTTCTCTAGTTTTTTATTTTTCATATTTTAATGTTTTCAATGAATTTTTTTAATATTTTAAGCAATTTTTTTTATAAAAATTTTAGACACACCTAACATAAATACACTTAAAAAGTATAATATTTGTGAAAAAATCTTTGAAAAATATACTAAATATCAAAAAATACAAAAAAAATGAAAATTCAATATATTTTTTATATTTTTGTGTATTTATTAATTTTTTAAAATAATTTTTCACAAATATTTTACTATTTAAATACATCTAAGTAAGGTGCATCTAAAAAAGTAAAAAAATACTTAAAATTTTAAAAATATTCACTAAAAACAAAAAAAAAAACAAAAAATAAAAAACTCAGTTTTCAGAAAACTGAAACCAAACACACTAATTGTTTTTAAAAATATTTTATAAATAAATACGTCTCAATATTGGATAATTCTATTATACACATCTCATACCAGAAGCACCCTTAGTTATACCATTTTCTTCTTTAGTTATGATATTATTTTGAAATTTTAATTATGATTTTTTTTTTGTATTTGGTTATATATTTTTTTAGTTTTTTAATTATAAATCAAAAAATATAAAATTATATCAAAATTTTTTTAATTTTTTTATAATTGTAAAGTGAAAGTGTATCTTTCCTCTCAATAACAATAATAATAAACCAGCTTAACAATGCAGAGTGGAGGAATCTTTGGTCTGAAGTAGGGGTGGGCAACGATTTATCCGAACCGCTCAAACCGCCCAATCCACCCAATCCGCATATAAATGGGCGGTTTCGCAAACATAATGCGGGCGGTTGCGGTTTGAAATATGACAAATTTGCGGGTTGCGGGCGGGTCGCGGTTTAAACCCGCAACCCGCAAAAACCGCCCGCACTTTAATTATTATTATTATTCTTTATATACCAACTTTGTAACTTTTACAGGAGTACTATTATATTATCTATGACACTAGGATTCTTATTTTTAAGTATTTCTCAACTTTCTTAATGCCGTAGAATTATAAAGTCCTAAACTTGGTTTCTTATTTGATTTTCATTGGTGATTCATTCACTTTTTCCTAATAAAATTTTCCTTCTAATGGTCGATGGAACTTATAGTTTGATTATTGATTACTGAACTGGCAATTTTGCGGGTTGACTTTTTCCCAAACCGCATAGATGCGGGCGGGTCAAAACCAAACCGCAAACCGCACAAAACCGATCCGCGAACACCCCTAGTCTGAAGACTTCATTTATACGAGCATCTCTAGAGTGGTAAGAAATATACAAAAAAAAAATTGATCAAATCAATTGAATTGAAACAAAATAATTATATTTGGTTTATTTTTTAATAATAATTGTGTAATTTTTTAATTTTTTTAAAATTTTTAATTCGATATCAGTTCAAAGACTTTGTGTACTGACCTAAATCGAAACTGAACTCTTGAACATATATTAAATTTATAATATATATAAAATATAATGTTATTGATAAGTATAATAAATTATTAATCTTAATTAATTAACTTTATCATTTCTATAATCTAAATTAGTAAAATCTTATATGGACAGGATATCTTATCTTTTATCCCGACCAATTAAAGTGATTGAGATCAACTTTAGTTGCTAAATTACTAATGTTATTTTTATTAATTAAAGAATCTAAAAATATTTATCAAATATGAAATAGTGAACAAATAATTAATTTAATATTTTTATATAAATCAATAATTATATAACAAAATGAATCAAATTTAAAATATTTTAAACTTATTAAACTGCACCAAACTAAATTATTTTTTAATCAGTTTAATTCAATTAAATTTGATAAGAAAAACTACCTATATTAATATTCAAAATAATAAATTTCACATTATCAATCCAATAAACAAATTATTTAAATACTAATCATATCAAACCGACTAGTCTAATATCCAACTCGGTTACTCGGACCTAAAAATTCAACAGCCTCTCTCTCTCTCTCTCTCTCTCTCTCTCTCTCCCTTCCTCCCATTTTCATCTCTCTCCTTCTATTCTCTCGTAGGTCAAAACCAAGCGACCATTTTGGGACCCCTCAAGGTTGGTAAATTATCAGAGATGAATATATAGGACCATTTTCAAAGATAATACACACCCATACAGATTCAGATTACTACTATCCATGTCTGCAAATTTCTCTTCAGTCATGATTCGGACGCTTTCAGGTAAGCTTCTTTTGACTTTCGGCGACTACCCTTTGCACAGCTGATGATGCTACCAATTAGCTCCACCTGGGTCTTTTGTGTCTTCTATCGATTCATTTGTCAATCTGTATTCATGGGTTGATCGTAGTTTTGAGCTATCTGATTTTGATTTTGAGCGGATCAGTTTTTGTTTTGATGCATCGAAGTTTGTATTGAACTGGGTATATACTGGATTTTAGGTCTGTTTTTGAAATTCTGGGTTGTTCAGTTTTTTGGTCAATATAACTGTCAATTAGCGGTTGATTTGTATAGGAGTTAGGCTGTGTTTGGTTCAAGGATTTGGAGAGTGATTTGGAAAGGAAATGGGAAAAGAACGTTTCGCTACCCAAATCATGAACCAAACACAGCCTTAATGAAACTGATGGGCATATATATTTGAATAATCCTAGGCCTCATGAAAGAAATATCATGAAAGGAAGATTTCCATCGTTGATTAGGGTGTGGTGTTTTTATTGTGTATAATCCAAAGCTTGTCATGATGCCTAACATTACTCTGCATATTTAGGAAGGTTTATATGCTACAGTAACTGTTTTTGTGCTTCACATCAATCATCTATTTCTAGTTATTTGTTGTACACCTTGAATAATATATCTTATTTATTAAAATTATTGCATGGAAAGTGAATTTCATTTAAAATAATAATTAAAGTTGACAAACGTATTTACTGACCTAGAATTCATAATTGTCTATTACAATCAAGAAAAATTTTAGCTTCATTAAAGGCACATTCATTATCAACGAATTTTGTTTGCAATTTGTCTTTGATGACCTGTATGTATGTATGTGTATCTGTTCTGTATATGCTTGTAATGGGTGTATTTTTACTAATTTTCCTTATTGTTCTGTTAAATATAATTAATATGTTTATATAATTTTACATTTGGATCTCCATAGGTTGCATTTTCTTAATTGCAGCCGTATGTTGAAGATAAAAAAAAAAGGAACAAATGAGGATGAGGAACAAATACAGGAAACCGACCAATTTACATTGCCATGCAGGAACCAGGTGCTCATTTTCCGTTGTTGTGTGGAGCTTGGTGGGATGCCTCGTTATGCTCCATCTGTACTCCCTTGTTCAACACAAACATGGGCGGGGTGGAGAGATCCAAGTGCACATGAGCCACCACCCTCTATTACGTGAACTTGAAGAGGTGGAGGAGGAGAATATTCAAATTCCCCCACCAAAGGGAAAACGATCCCCACGTGCCGCCAAACGGAGGCCTAGGCCTAAGCGGACAGCTACCATTATGGATGAATTCCTTGATGAGTCTTCCCAACTTAGGCATGTATTCTTCCCTGATTGGAAAACTGCTATAGATCCAGTGAAGGATTCTGGCAATGAAAGCTTCTACTATTTTCCTGGGAGGATTTGGCTGGATACTGATGGAAACCCTATTCAAGCTCATGGAGGTGGTATTCTGTATGATGAGAGATCAATGACATACTATTGGTATGGAGAGTATAAAGATGGGCTCACTTACCATGCCCACAAAAAGGGAGCAGCGCGGGTAATTTTTTTTTAAATCTGAATACACTCTTAGATTATTGATTATCCATGATCCACGAAGAAAGATAATTTTTGCGTATGCTGCATGATTTTATATTATACTTCTTTGAATTTACTTGTCAAAAAAATAAAATTTCATGAGGATCCGTTTTCTATTCCCTATGTACTCTTGTCCATCTTTGCATACACCTGCACGTGTGCCCATGCACAGTGGCTCCAAGCCACTTGGAGGCTAGGAGGGGCACGTGCCCCTTCTAAAATTTATAAAAATTACACTTTTATGGTTTTACCTATAGTTACAATAAAGTTTTTTACTTTTGCCCTTTGAGTTTCATAAATGCCTCTCACATGAATTAGATACAGAAATTTCATATTTTTTCTGAATCCTATTCAATTTCAAGTATATATATTTCTATATAATTTATAACATTTCATCTGAGAATATTATATAATATGCAACATATATGTGTATATGATGTATCCTCGCACCCATATCCAATTTTGGATATATATCCTAAGATTCTAAGATTTAAATTTATGAAGGTCTGACGCTTAGATATGCACCCACACCTGATACTCGTACCCAATCCATGTAACATAGACCACCACAAATCAGGTTCACCACAAATTTGACCACCGCAAAACTCTGTAACCAATCACCAATATGATTTATAACTAAGGTTTTGTTTGGCAACTACATGTTTTAGCCAAAAAATTAAAAAGTCACTATAAGTTGTCATATCACTCTCTCTATTTTTCTGTATATCTTTTCGTAAAAAATCAAAATGTTATTAAAATAGTCTATTCTCAAACAAGGCCTAAGACCATAAATCTTCATAACTAGAATGTATGGTCACTACAACATTTTTGGATTTTATAGACTAAATTTTTTCCCTTAAAAATAAAATTTTTGTTACAAAAACAATTAGGGCACCAATTTCTGCCGTCATGAGATGGCAAGAGTTGTCGCTAAAAGGTTGTCTGGAAAAGTCAAAAATAGGACTTTTAGCGGCAATTTTGAAAATGTCGCTAATAAATGCACTTTTGGGGGCCAAATAATTTGGTGCCAAAAAGGTTTACTTTTTAGATGGAAAAAAAAAAAAAAATTAATCTCAAAAGGATAGTAATTCATTACTAAATATCCAATTTTGTCACTAAAAATATAATAATGATACTTTTAGCAACTAGAATATTTCGTTCCGAAAAAGTGATTGTCCCTAAATTTGTCTCTAAAATCTTAATTGGCTATAATGGCTACACCTTTTAAGGAGGTGTGTATCGTAGAATTTTCCCATACAAAAAGTTTGTATGGTTTGGATGACATATTTATTTATCCAATATCTCAAGTTCGGTTAATGTTTTTAAGTTATGGCCTTTATTGTGTTATCTTATGGTATACTTTGTTAGTGCTAGGGTTATCATAGTTTGGTGATTTCATGACTACATAATGTGCATCTTAGGTAGAGTCCAAGCCACTATCACTTTGGAGACCATATTGGACAAGGCCTGAAGTTTTGAAAGCATAGATGTTATGGGAGTTCTTTATTGGCATGGAAGGTGCTATGGGTTCATTTGGTCATCTTGGTTAATCAGCATCAGAGACTGGTTGACTAGGAGTTTCATGTCACTGGAAACAACCAAATAGGTTGGTTGATCAAGCTAGAATCAGGTTCATAGACTGTTGACAAGACCCACATGTGGACCAGCCATGTGTAAGCATGGGTCAACCCATGATGAGATCCACAGTATGGTAAAACTCTGTAGTGGAGTATGGATTGCTCATTTGTATCTCAAAGCTAAAACTCCATGTGTTTGTGGGCTAACCATGGCAAATGATGCGCCAGCCCATAGAGGCGAGTTTTGAAGAAAACTACCTATTGGACTAGATGTTATTTGGGGTTCTTTAAATACTAACACATCTCTACTTGGTATTACCTTTTAAGAAATAGTTCTACATCTGTTATACACTGTAAATAAAATTTTCTATAGATTTTCTATCTTATGTGAGTGTCAGTTTGAGAGAACTTCATAGCACCTTGGACGTCTTGGGAGTGAGTTGGAAAGCTTGCTTCATTGGAAGTCTTGGGAATTCTCTTTGAAGGTATATTTTTCATCCTAGTGCTAGTGTAATACATCTTTGGTTGTATACACTATAGCCTTTGCACACTCTCTATGCGTGTCCCATAGACTTTTGGAAGTAATTAGCAAGCTTCCTTCCAAGTGTTTGTAGGTTTGTGCGTTGGAAGTTGGTATTGGGTTGATCCAAGAAAACCCCATTGTTTTTGTTTCCTAGATTTTATTAATCTACAAAGGTTTTCAGTTGTCTTAATGAAAAATCTATCTGTGTAAAGGTTTTAGGTTGTCCTAGTGAAAAACTATCAGTGTAAAGGTTTTGGGGATCTACCAAATTAATTTCTATGCGACTATGTTTCAAGGAAAAAAAATTATCATCTTTTTTTAGGAATAGACAATTCCAACGTTCATTTTCTTTTGTGCTATGTTTGGTTTGTAGATTTGAGAAGGTATTTAGAAAGCAAAAAGGAAAAGGTGTGTGAAACACAGATGAAATATGGTTATATTTCATTCACATTTCACCAACATTTTCTCTTTCCTTTTCCAAATCCCTTCCATCCATCCCAAAATTTATCAACCAAACAGAGTCTTGAAGTATTTCTCCACGACTATTGTTTTTTAATTAAAATAAAAATCGTCAATCAAAATTACTAATTTTAGCACAAATCAAAATCCCTAATTTTTGCGCACATCACCACAAATAAAAAATCCTAATTTATGAACACCACAATCCCTACTTCTAGCATAAATAACAATAAATCAAAATCCTTAATTTTAGCAAATCAAAACACATCACTTCAAGCACAAATAAACCATAAATCAACATCTCAATTTTATTTGAGGGAAGAAAAAAATAAAAGATTAGAGAGAGTACTTTTAAACAGTGGTGACTATAGGCAGAGACAACCAGAGCCCCAAATTCAACCAAAACGTTTGCCTCCACTCTCCAATGTCTGTCTGCATTTCATTGAATCAAAACAATCAAGTTAAATGCAATGTAAAAAAAGCCCTAATCAGAACAAGAATACTTACCTTGGAGAGAGAAGGACGAGGGTCGTGTCCGTGTTGACGGCGAGTCAGTGTGGAAGTCGAAATCCAAATAGAACTCTGATGAGTTAGCACTTGCCATTTTTTCAGTCATCATAGAGTAGTAGATTGTAAGTCTCACCACTATAAGGGCACGGCTTCGTTTGGAAAATGGTTGGTTTTTTTTTGGTTTTTAACCTAAAAAGGCTTTTTTTATTTTATTTTATTTTTATTTTTTTATTTAAGAAAGAAATATAATAATTATAGTTTAAATACAATATTTTATCATATTAATTTTTTAATTTATTTTATCTTTTTATAATTATTTTAGTCTTTTAACTTTAAAATTAATATGCCAAACAAGGGCATTGTAAATTTTATTATTTGATAAAATCGGAAATTTTTTTAATAGATTAATGATTTTGTTTGAATTAGTATGAATGAGTTTCTTCCTAGTAAAAATCTCCAAAACAAAAAATTCTTGTCGAGAAAAAATTCATTCGGACTAATTCGACCACAAATTCAATGGATGTAACGGTACTGTTTTTAATATTAAGAGCATTTATAACGTTGAATCAATTTTTTTTAAAAAAATTGATGAAAAGTTTCATTTGATAACGTTCACTCAAATACTAAAATTAAAATTTTTATCAAATTTTTTTCATCTCCAATTGTCTAGAATGATGTATGGGCAGATGTCCTAGAGATCGTATGGAGATTAACAAAAAAAAATATCAAATTGCCTTAGGTGAATGTCCAGTCCAACGATAACCATTTCAATTTAGGGTTTAGCTTGTCTCATGTTTGAGATCAAGACTGGACCGTCTAACCCAGCCCATGGGCCCATTTTTGGTCCCGTTTTGATAATCCGAACCGTTCAATGTATAGAACTCGTCGAGTACTATATCCCTGTAAAAAATCACGTTGACTGGATGTCGATAGTTATTTGATCGGATTATTTTCTGTCAACCGTTTATTTTTTTACCGTCCTTTTTCTTTATATAGAAAACTGATCTGATCAAATAGTCCTCAATATCCGATCAATGTTATTTTTAACAGGGATATAATACTCGACAAGTTCTACACATTGAATAGTTTGGATTATCAAAACGGGTCCCAAAAAATGGGCCCATGGGCTGAACTGGACGGTCCAGTCTTGATATCAAACATGAGACAAGCTGGACCCTAATGAATGATCAAATCTCCCTCCATTTGATTACATATCTACTTCTCTCTATTTGATAGCACTTTAATAAAAATGTTGGAACTCACTTTTAAGACTTTTTCTTGACGATAGAATTTAGGTTGGAGATGGTCTAAGAGATGTTAATCATAATTTCCATGAAAAAAAAGGGGGTTTACTTTAAGAGACTGATATTAAGATTTTACAAGATAAATAATATGAAATAGCTTTATATGTGACCAATTGAAATTTTTTTAATAATATTATTAAGGACTTTAGCTAATAAAAAAATATTTGATCCCTCATACTACTAAAAGTTGGGGAGGAATATTTTACTAATTTCTCAAAAAAAAGAAGAATATATAATAAATAATTATCTCATTAATTTAATTGGATACTTAATCTTATACTAATTTTATTAATTCTTTCACCAGCCAAATATGGCCTGGGGGGTTCCTATGGTCCCCTTTGCTGGTCAGATTATTTTGATGCGATTAAATAGGATACAATTACCTATAAAATTGTGAGGTATAAATTATATTATAGAATTAGATGAGATGAAATATTAGATATATGATAAAATTTTGAAAAGTAAGTTATACTTTTGAATAATAGATGTGAGGAAATCCCATGGTACATACTTCTTCAAGGGTGTGTATCATATGCAATTGATTATAAAATGTGTAATTTTATCATAAAATTTTATAATATCAATTATA